TATATAAACTTGAGTTAAAATTCCGTCTTTTTAAAATGGGAAGGCCTCCAAAACCGACGGAAAGTTTTCTCATTGGCCCATTTAGTTTAAAATTCAACGAGCAAGAAGTATGTATAATTAAAAATGTTGAAACAATGAGCAAAACTGCAAATAAAAGCTTAATGTAAAAGACAAAACAACATTCAAGTAATGAAATCCCAACTTCAACATTTAATAAGCTAAGGAACTAAAATATAACACCAGCCTTCATTAATTGAATTTAACCTTTACATATGTTATCATTTAACTAATAATTGAAAGAAAACAAATTATATTAACTAATAAAAATAACAGTAAACTAGAAGCAATAGCTAAAAAAAACCGCAAATAAATGAAATCTAACAAGCATTCACATGACAGTAACCAAGATATAAGGATTGAAGCATGGAGCTCGCTAGAAAAAATAGAATTCACTATCCTATTTTGAAATCAAACAAACCCAAATGAAATTGCTAACATAATAATCGTCGGAGTTAACAATCTAAAAGAATTTATCTCTATATATATAAAATAATGTAAGTAAAAGTATTCTAAAAGAAAAAATAACAATGTAATGCTATTTAAATATCCAATGAACAATTTTAGCAAGATAGGAAGTGTAAACTTAAACGTAAAGTAAACATAAGATAAATAAATAAAAGTAATCTACTTAAACAGAATAGATTTCCAAACAAGCAGCCACATAAAAATGTTCAAGTGAAATGTGAAATTCAACATAGAACAAAATCAACAAAAAACTGGTAAAATAGTTCAAGATTTCTACCAGAAATTGAAGAAAAATATCAAAGCTCATTGGAGCTATTGTACGCTGGATCTGGATTGTTTCCCATTGATAAGCCTCGAAACTTGATGATTTTTTTTAGAGCTAATACCTCCTTGGTTCATTCATCTGCAATGAAAAAAAATGAAATAATAAAAATGTGAAGGAAAAATGGGATGGGGGTTTTGTTTGGTGAGGTTGTTAGTGGAGGTTGTCGGTGGTTTGTGGAGGTGGGTTTGGAGGGAAGAGAGAAGAGGGAGTGGCTGGGAGGCGAACGGAAAGAGGGAGAGGGGCTGGCGGCTGATGGCTTGCTGTTGTCCGTCTCGCCTGCTGGCTGTTACTCGCCGGAGAAAGAGGGGGAAGGGAACAAAGGAGAAGAAGGGAGATGGCTTGAGCTACTGTCCGTTTGGAGTTGTTGTTGTTTATTGTTTTCACTGGAGAAGTTGGCGACTGATGGCACTGCTGCTTCATCCTCGTCAGTGGTGGCGTGAGCTCGGAGGTGAGCTGATTCCATGGCTATTCGCCGGAGGAGAAGAGAGACGAGAGGATGAGGGGAGAAGAGGGAGGGAGAGGGGCTGACGGAAAAGGGAAAAGGGAGAGGGAAGGGGGAGCGACGGGAGAAGAGAGTGAAGGGGGCGAGGGAAGGGGGAAAAGGGAGGGGCTGGGGTCTGTGGAGAGAGGGAGGGGAAGGTTTTCTCCCTTTATTTTTCCTGAAAATTGCTCCCCCAAATTTTGACCTAGTTAGTAAGTTAAATAAAAACTCAAAATGGGCTCAAATGACAGGCTTAGTATTGTGGCCTCAAATTACGAATTTTTAAAAATGTTAGGCCAAAATTGGGTGTCAACAGCTGTCCCTATCGTTGTGTATGATTGATGAAAGAAATCGTGGACAACGAAAATTGACAAACCCAATTTTGACTGAACACATGACCTTTGTAGAGAAGTGCGGGTGCATGTGGTTGAAGTCAATTCCAGACCTGTCTCCAAAAGGTTCTATAATGCGTTGCGTCCTTGTTGAAGTGGTTTGCACCTGTTTTTTTTTAATGAAATTCATCCTTTTGAATGCACTTGACAAAGACTGAGATAAAACTCGTCAGCTTAAAATGCAATTCAAATGGGAGACAGTGTCTTCCACCGTGTCGACACTCAATTTCTCACCTCGGCATTTAATGTTAGTTGACGTTGAGGGATAAATATTTCCTTTGAGATGCACGATTCTTTTTCTAGCAGTGCATGATTGCTTGCAGGGCATGAATATCTTTCCGCGATGTTCAAATTTGCGAGGTAGTGAATCTTCTCGCGATGCATAAAAATTTAACTCGCGATGCATGAATATTAATCCGCGATGCAAGAATATTAACTCGCGATGCATGAATATTAATCCGCGATGCAAGAATATTAACTCGCAATGCATGAATATTAACTAGTGATGCATGAATTAACTCGCGATACATGAATCGACTCTCGATGCATGAATTGACTCTCGATGCATGAATATTAACTAGTGATGCATGAATTGACTCTCGATGCATGAATATTAGCTCTCGATGCATGAATATTAACTCTCGATGCATGAATATTAACTAGTGATGCATGAATTGACTCTCGATGCATGAATTAACTCTCGATGCATGAATATTAACTCTCGATGGATGAATATTAACTCTCGATGCATGAATATTAACTCTCGATGCATGAATATTATCTCCTGATGCATGAATTAACTAGTGATGCATGAATTTTCTGCGAGGTATAGAATCTTCTCGCGATGCATGAATTTTCTGCGAGGTACGAAATCTTCTCGCGATGCATGAATTTTCTGCGAGGTATGAAACCTTCTCTCAATGCATGAATTTTCTACGAGGTATGAAATCTTCTCGCGATCCATAAAAATTTCTGCGAGGTATAAGATTTTCTCGCGATGCATGAATTAAATCTCGATGCATGAATATTAATTCGTGATGCATGAATATTAACTCGCAATGCATGAATATTAACTCCCAATACATGAATTAACTCGCGATGCATGAATATTCACTCTAGATGCATGAATTAACTAGTGATGCATGAATTCCGCAAGGTATAAAATCTTCTTGCTATGTATGAATTTTCTGCGAGGTATGAAATCTTCTCGCGATGCATGAATTTCCTGCGAGGTATGAAATCTTCTCGTGATGCATGAATTTTCTGCGAGGTACAAAATCTTCTCGCAATGCATGAATTTTCTCTCGATGCATCATTTTATTCCATCTGTAACGAGGTGGATAACTCGATAATATTCCATCTGTAACGAGGTGGATGACTCGATAATATTCCAACTGTAACGAGGTGGATGGCTCGATAATATTCCAACTGTAACGAGGTGGATGCTCGATAATGGTCCAACTGTAACGAGGTGGATGCTCGATAATATTCCAACTATAACGAGGTGGATGGTATGATAATATTCCAACTGTAACAAGGTGGATGCTCGATAATGGTCCAACTGTAACGAGGTGGATGGCTCGATAATATTCCAACTGTAACGAGGTGGATGGCTCGATAATATTCCAACTGTAACGAGGTGGGTGGCTCGATAATATTCCAACTGTAACGAGGTGAATGGCTCGATAATATTCCAACTGTAACGAGGTGGATCGCTCGATAATATTCCAACTTTAACGAGGTGGATTCTCGAAAATAGTCCAATTGTAACGAGGTGGATGGCTCGATAATATTCCAACTGTAACGAGGTGGATGCTCGATAATGGTCCAACTGTAACGAGGTGGATGCTCAATAATATTCCAACTGTAACGAGGAGGATGACTCGATAATAGTCCAACTGTAACGAGGTGGATGGCTCGATAATGGTCCAACTGTAAAGAGGTGGATGGCTCAATAATATTCCAACTGTAACGAGGTGGATGACTCAATAATATTCCAACTGTAACGAGGTGGATCGCTCGATAATATTTCAACTGTAACAAGGTGGATGCTCGAAAATAGTTCAATTGTAACGAGGTGGATGGCTCGATAATAGTCCAACTGTAACGAGGTGGATGGCTCTATAATATTCCAACTATAACGAGGTGGATGGCTCGATAATATTCCAACTGTAACAAGGTGGATGACTCGATAATATTCCAACCTCAAAAGAATTTTTGAGATCCTCTCAAAATTTCTGTCCCAGTTTCTATTATGAAGAGAAATGGAAATCTTACTGTGTATATGACCGAGCCGTTGTGGCGCCTACGTATCCCATTGGAGCAGGAATCAGGTCAAACGTAGTTTCCCTCTTGTGGGTGATGAGTGCTACAAAGAATCTAAAAGATTATCAGTAGAAAATGCACAATATGAACATGATGGAGTATGCAAATGGTATCCTTTGCTATATTCAAAGCCTAAAACAAGACATATCACATTTTGCGGATGGACAATCGAATGAAGTAAAATAGGCGTCTCACATATATAAGATTAACTTAACAACACCTTTTATAATGAACAACTCAAAAGACAATTTTTTTCTTTTTTTTTCAAAAATAAAAATGCGATGAGATAGTCAAATTTTCACCACGATTGGTACCAACAGTTAAAATTGCAGGTAAATCTCTCATTATTTTTTTTAAAGATTGAATTAAGGTAATTCATACAGCTTCAAGTGGTACCTCAAATATACTTAAGGATTGACAAGATCCGTTCGTCTTGTTTCAAACAAAGATTTTGAATTGTATCAATCCTCATGTTTCAAATGCCCTCGCGACAAAGTCTAGTCCTATTTCACACATATTTGAAACATTTGGTTATAGGACATTTTTCAAAGTGCACTCACACTCACAAGAATGTTCAATGCACACAAGTGTAATACCATATGCTTGACCCTTATGTAAATCTCCACTAATGTGAGAACATTTGGAATGGGATCATGTAGGGCTTGTCATTGGCTTCTAACGTAGGTTTAGGGATGGGTCGGATATTTATTTGAGATAAAAGTGACTGAATTCCTCCTTGAGTGTTACACAGAATTTGTGTTTTTAATGATTGGTACGCCTTTTTGGCGTTAGATCCTCTTCATTGTTCTCCCAGCTTTCAAATTCTTTTGAATTCTCATTTTGAACACTTCCCCCTTTTTTTCTTTTTTTTCTTTTTTTGATTCCTTATTCGTTGAAGCTTTTCTTTATTCACTTCTTTATTATAATAATTTTTCCCTTTTTTTGTTGGAATATTTTCCTTCCAACCTTTCACCGGTCCTGTAAAGGAATTTTTTGCCTTTCTTTATTTTTTCCACTTTTTTTCTCTTTTTCTCTAGAGTCTTTGCTTCCTTGATTTTGAGAGACTCAATATCTTTGCTTTTTGAAATTTCAAACATTGATCTCTTTTATAATTTGCACATTCTTTGTGCACTCAAGAAGGTTGGGCCAAGAGAGGATAGTGCTCGTAAGCACTCAAAAGGGTAGTGGTTAAGATGTAGTTGTCCAAATGAAGGTTTCAGGCTCAAAATGGGAAAGCTAGGGATTATTGTAATTTGGTAGGCTTTGAAAGGCACAATCGGGTCAAAAAGGCCTACAATCCTTTCTCAAACCAAACATTACTCATGATTTTGCCTCGAAAAACATTCAGGTCAAGTTCTAGATCAACAGTGTAACACAATTGAACTTTGATCAAAATCTCACCACACAATGCACATGAAACATAAGGTTAGTTTTATTCTTATCTTGATTGAATGCAAGAGAATTTTCAATCATCATAAAAGTACAGATAAGAGGTACCACGAGAATCTGTAATTTACCGCAAAATTCATTCTTTTTCATCATATCGAATATATTTACATGCTCTAAACCATATAGGTCCCGACCGAGTTGAAGACATGACTCTAACAGTATGTACAAACAATTTTTTTTTAAAAAAAAATTATTACCAAACCCGAGAAAGGTTGCCTACATATCTCATTAACATGAGAATCAGGTACGCGTAGTTCGGCCAGATATGGCTTGAAAAATATGCACAAACTATTTTCTAAATTATTTTTTTTTTGAAAAAGATAATACCGAACCCAAGAAGGGTTGCCTACGTATCTCACCGAAATGAGAATCAGATACGCGTAGTTCGACCAGATATGGCTTAAAAAATATGCACAGACTATTTTATAAATTTTTTTTTTGGAAGATTATACTGAACCCAAGAAGGGTTGTCTATGTTCTCATTAACATGAGAATTAGGTACGCATAGTTCGTGCAGATATAACTTTGAAAATATGCACAAACTATATATTTTTTTTACTTTTTACTTTTTACTCTTTTTTTTTGAAAAAGATAATACCGAACCCAAGAAGGGTTGCCTACGTATCTCATCGAAATGAGAATCAGGTACGCATAGTTTGGCCAGATAAGGCATAAAATAATTTAAAGATTTAGAAAACTCAAAGAAATTTTTATGTCTAGCGCCACTAAAATTTGTAGTGATGAAGTTTTTTTGTCTTTTTCTTTTTTTTCCGTACCAATATGTTTTATAGCCTCTTAATCTTCAATATTTAGGCTGTCTATTGAACGTTACCTACGAATTTCTACAGTAGTGATTTGTTGTACTCTTTTTGGATGTTTTCTTGGATCTTTGTCTCCTTCCAATTTTCACGAGATCCAAATACTGTTATGACCATCCCCGACTGATGTCGGGGACGGTATTCCTACAAAAATATGAGAAATATGTGAGAGCAGGACCGTCATGCAAAATAATAAAAAAAATAAGTAGATGCGACCTTATAGTCAAATACTCCCCTGATTTATCATTTTTTGACTTGATATTAACGTCTTGTGAAATACAAGGACTCAAATTTTTTTAATCCTCTTGTCTCTTGTGACTTCGGACAAAAAGTGATTTCTGAATTTGAACATAAATTAATTTTCGCTGTAAAGAAGAACAACTCAAAATGTAAAAGTGTTAATACCTGTACATAATGAATAATGTAAAATATCACACAAATAATGAATAAAACACATAAACACTGTTTTTATTAAAGACAAACTGAAATATATCACATATCATACAAATAATTATGGCGCGTCCTATACAAATATGTGACCCTTTTATGCCTTAGGCCTATCGATTCGAAGGATGTATAACGTCTTTTGACAACTTTCCATTGTCCCCCAAAACACTTAGTACAATTTATGAACAAATGAAATAGAATTATAAAGTCAAATGAAAAGAAAGAAGGGAAAAAAATTACAAATATTCAATCTCACGTAGGGGTACCATCCTATTCTAAGCCTTTGTCGAAGGGTCTTCCTCTTGAAATTCTTGTCATCTCCGATTGTCAACACCTTTAAATGGAATGATAGCTTCTGAAAACTCGAGCTTGACAAATGTAAACTATTAAAATAACCTTCTAATTCAGATGTACTGTGGTTTGTCAAAAGATGTATACATCCTTCAAATTACACACAATTATGGTCGTCCTTTTAGGCTAGAAGCCATTATGGACTCAAGGTGGTCTTTCTAATGGACTCAACACGCCTTGGGTGTTGAGTCATCTTAGGCTGATACTTAAATTCGGATTTGGTTTTGCTCTATCCTAGGGTGACTAGAATTGGTATAGAAGTGACGGTTACCCGAGTCGGACAGACAACGGGGTGAAGCTAATAAACGGCGTTGGATGACCGCAAGCCAACTATTCGTTTATTACTTCCAAAGATTAGACTTGTGTGTTTTTCTGAAGGAAGTCGTGGTAAGCCACATAAACTTCTTATGTCCTAATGCAGACTATTTGTCAGTTGATGAAAATTATGTCATGAAATGCAATGATAATATACACAAAATAAATAAATAATAAATAAATACAATATACAAATAATCAGCAAAATATAAAAATACAAGTTATAACATAACAAAAATTTCCTCAATTTGAAAAAAAAACATTAAATTCATATTGGTTAAAACCTCTAAACTCCCCAACAGAGTCGCCATTCTGTTTACATCCCTAATCTTTCGAAATAGGGCGAAACGTCGCGGTAACTAGAAAATAATTAATTGTTCAATTTTAACAAAGTTTTAAAAATAAACGAGTTTTAAAAAAAAGTCGCCACCTAATTTTAGGAAAACTAGAAAACCAATTATTAATCTACGAAACCAAATTGATTCTAGGTAAGGGGTTCAAGTTATTCCGAAGGGAAGGGGTTAGGCACCCTTCGGAATCCACAAATGTGATTCCCGACTGAATTCATTTTTTTCAAATTGAGGAAGAATATAAAATAAAGTACAAGTATAATAAACATTTAATATGCACAATAAAATAAAATAATAATTATCGGCCTAAGGTTTGCCTAACGTCAATATTTACAATAATGAAATAAAAGGAAAAGCACATCCGGGTACCTGTAAACACACTTAGTAAAAGTGTTAGTAAAGAATAAATATGATTAAAATTGAATAAACCAAATAATAATTAAAAATAAAAATCCGTCTTATTAACATGGGAGGCCTTGGAAATCGACGGTAATTTCTTCATCGGCCAATTGCAATAACTAAAATTATATATAAACTTTAAATTAGATTTCCGTCTTTTAAAATGGGAAGGCCTCTAAACCCGACGGATAGATTTTTCATTGGCCATTTTAACAACAAAAATATATAAACTTGAGTTAAAATTCCGTATTTTTAAAATGGGAAGGCCTCTAAACCCGACGAATAGATTTTTCATCGGCCCTTTTAACAACTAAAATATATAAACTTGAGTTAAAATTCCGTCTTTTTGAAATGGAAAGGCCTCTAAACCCGACGGATAGATTTTTCATCGGCCCTTTTAACAATTAAAATATATAAACTTGAGTTAAAATTCCGTCTTTCTAAAATGGGAAGGCCTCCAAAATCGACGGAGAGTTTTCTCATTGGCCAATTTAGTTTAAAATTCAACGAGCAAGAAGTATGTATAATTAAAAATGTTGAAACAATGAGCAAAAATGTAAATAAAATCTTAATGAAAAAGACAAAACAACATTCAAGTAATGAAATCCCAACTTCAACATTTATTAAGCTAAGTAACTAAAATATAACACCAACCTTCATTAATTGAATTTAACCTTTACATATGTTATCATTTAACTAATAATTGAAAGAAAACAAATTATATTAACTAATAAAAATAACAGTAAACTAGAAGCAATAGCTAAAAAAACCGCAAATAAATGAAATCTAACAAGCATTCACATGACAGTAACCAAGATATAAGGATTGAAGCAGGGAGCTCGCTAGAAAAAATAAAATTCACTATACAATTTTGAAATCAAACAAACCCAAATGAAATTGCTAACATAATAATCGTCGGAGTTAACAATCTAAAAGAATTTATCTCTATATATATAAAATAATGTAAGTTAAAGTATTCTAAAAGAAAAAATAACAATGTAATACTATTTAAATATCCAATGAACAATTTTAGCAAGATGGGAAGTGTAAACTTAAACGTAAAGTAAACATAAGATAAATAAATAAAAGTAATCTACTTAAACAGAATAGATTTCCAAACAAGCAGCCACATAAAAATATTCAAGTGAAATGTGAAATTCAACATAGAACAAAATCAACAAAAAAATGGTAAAATAGTTCAAGATTTCTACCAGAAATTGAAGAAAAATATCAAAGCTCATTGGAGCTATTGTACGCTGGATCTGGATTGTTTCCCATTGATAAGCCTCGAAACTTGATGATTTTTTTTTGAGCTATTACCTCCCTGGTTCATTCATCTGCAATGAAAAAAAATGAAATAATAAAAATGTAAAGGAAAAGTGGGATGGGGGTTTTGTTTGGTGAGGTTGTTAGTGGCGGTTGTCGGTGGTTTGTGGAGGTGGGTTTGAAGGGAAGAGAGGAGAGGGAGTGGCTGGGAGGCAAACGGAAAGAGGGAGAGGAGGAAGGGAAAGGGGCTGGTGGCTGATGGCTTGCTGCTGTCCGTCTCGCATGCTGGTTGTTACTCGCCGGAAAAAGAGGGGGAAGGGAACAGGGGAGAAGAAGGGAGATGGCTTGAGCTGCTGTCCGTTTGGAGTTGTTGTTTATTGTTTTCGCTGGCGAATTCGGCGACTGATGGCACTGCTGCTTCATCCTCGTCAGTGGTGGCGTGAGCTCGGAGGTGAGCTGATTCCATGGCTATTCACCGGAGGAGAAGAGAGACGAGAGGATGAGGGGAGAAGAGGGAGGGAGAGGGGCTGATGGAAAAGGGAAAAGGGAGAGGTAAGGGGGAGCGACAGGAGAGGAGAGTGAAGGGGGCGAAAGAAGGGGGAAAAGGGAGGGGCTGGGGTCTGTGGAGAGAGGGAGGGGAAGGTTTTCTCCCTTTATTTTTCTGAAAATTGCTCCCCCAAATTTTGACCTAGTTAGTAAGTTAAATAAAAACTCAAAATGGGCTCAAATGACGGGCTTAGCATTGTGGCCTCAAATTACGAATTTTTAAAAGTGTTAGGCCAAAATTGGGTGTCAACAGTCCTAAAAACTCCATTATGATTTTAATGGGGGAACTTTTTTTAATTGTTCCAGAAGGATCTTGTCATTGGTTTATCTTCCTTCCAATTTTACTGATTGAATATAAGTTTGTGTTGAAATTGTCGATATTGTGTCAATGTTGAATTCATTTTTTTGTTTAAATTACTAAGTTTGTGTGTTAAGTCATTGATATATTCACTGCAATTTCTCTATTATTTCCATCTAATGAACCATTTAGAGAACCACATGGACAGGGGGCTTTCTCTATATAAACATTCTTACACAAAATACAAAGTTGCCACCATTTTATTAGTAACAAACTGAAAAGCAATTCAAGTTCCCTTAAAATCTCATGGATAATCAGCATATCATATCATATATCATAAATTATAAGTAGGAAGCTTCAAAGATGAAAAATGGGGTTACCATTTTATTTCTAAACTAAATTAAACATCTTATTAATGAAATAATATTATTTTAATTATTTTTTGAATTATATTATTTATTAGGAAGAAAATGTGGAAGAACAAGAGTTTATTACGATTTCTAGATATTAAACAAGTACATGATTCAAGGTTTTTTTTCCTTTTAAAATCAAATTAAAGAATATGAAGAGTTGTAACTAAATCTATATATACCACTGTCAAATACAAATTTGTTATCTTGAATTCTTCCACTAACATTTTCTACGTACTCAATATGGTAAAATTCCTTCTTTTTCCATCTTCTATTGTTTGTTTGTAAGATTTTTATCATTTGATTATTTTTCAAATTAGAAATGATTGGTTCAATTCTAATTCTTTATTTGTGATTGTTTCTCTTTCTAGAATTTCTTGTTACTATTATGTGTAGAAATTTGAAATCACTATCTATACTGTCTATGCCTCTTCTTCTTTCATTTTGTTTTGTTACTTGAAAGTTAAAATCCTATCATTGATCCTTTTATCTTTATTCTTAGGTAGCTCAAAGTTATTTTTTTTTAACTTTTGCACATATCATTTTTGTCTAATATTCTATTTTTTTCCTACCATACTGTTAATAACTTACAAATGATTGTGTTGTATTTCGTAATTCAATTATATGTATATAACTTTATAGAAATTTCATTTATTAAAATTTACAGATGACAGAATCAATAATTTTGAATGAGTCAAATAAGACAAAGGGTATAAATACATGTAATTTTTATTTATATATGTCATTTGAATATATAAATAATGATAATTTTATAACAAATAAATACTTTTTTTTGTAGGTTTGAACTATAAAATTGATAATGATATATTAGTCATCCTAAGGAAGGCATATGTCCATCGAATTTCTCTACAATTATTACAAAATACCACTCTTCTTTGACGACAACTTCTCGATATGTATGCATCTATAAGAAAGTGGAGAATATTATTCCTTAAAAAAGTAGGCTAAAACTTTATGGCATTTAATATTTTGTATCTATAATGTGGACATATAAATTATGTGTTGTAACATATTAAAAAAAGAATTTTTAACAAGTTGAATAATTAATATATATTATAAGAATTGTATAATTGAAGTCATTATGGTATTAATTTTGAATTTCACTTGATAATAATTTTATGATGTGAGCTTGTATAAAACACATTGTCACTTATATTCTAGAAGTGTTTATACTAATTTGCACGATCTACACGTGCAACGCACGTGTTCAAAAACTAATTACTATTATATTTATCAATTGGTAAATTTGAAATTATTAATTAACTTGTCTATTTGACGTCTATAATATATAAGTGTATATATCTTTTAGTGTAACCATTTAATAGATAACAACTTATTAAATCTTCCTCCAAACTATTTAAATTGTAACCTTTTATTCAATCTATTTAAATTGTAGCCTTTTCTACTTAATATTATAGCCCATTTTAAACCAATTAATTCAATTCCAATCTCAATCTTTAATCCCAACTGTCCATTCAATTCTTTTAAATCTCAACCCCGCATCTCATCTTGATCCAACACTTAAGCTTGAGTCTTCTATCACTTTCAAATATCAATATCCTAACACCCTCATTCTCTTTGAAAATGACAGGTGTCGCTCCTCTTCTCCCAACATCGTCCATCGTCGACAAAGTTCACTGGCAAAACCCCTGCTCCACCCTCACTCACGGGCCAACCACCAAGCGAGCCCCTCTCCTTCTTCTCTCTTCTCATGGTGCTTCTTCAACCACGAGTAGATATCATCCACTTCACCATCCAAACCAGTCGCTCCTCTCCTCCCCTTTCTCCTTCCCTCTGAATTTCTTTTGACCTTGTAGGCTTGCAAAGCACCGACTATACAACCTCAATCCGTCTTCTTCTCTTCTTCCATTGGTTTTGACCAAAAATTTCGGTAAGACAACCACCGTGAAGAGCGATTTGACTTCAACAATTCAAGCCAACCATCATCCTTTCCTCGACGAGATTGACAACATGAGCATCATTTATGTGTCGCTCCGACAAGAGAAACCCGATGGTGCTTTCAGGTTTTTGGGGCTATTGAAATTGCATCTTACCAAATCCATTCATGTTCGATTTTTAAGATTATCTTATCTTTTCAATAGATTTCTTAAATTGCCTTATTTTTTTTAGTATAATAGTTCTAATTGTATTCTTACGCTTCATAAAATTCAATAATGATCATTAAATCTCCTTACCACTATTTCCTTTTGATTTTGAGTTCCTAAACTTGTATATTTTCTAGTTTGTGTGTTCCTATTTTTGTTTGAATGTAATCTCCGATTTTTGTAAATAGGTCCTTAAATTTTTCTTTAAGAACGCTCATTGAGTTGTAGTTTTTTTATTCAAGTGTAGCAAGTCTTAATATGCCAGTTTGATTTATTTTCTTAATGAATTGATTGACTATTCTGAAAATTTTCATGATTAATGCTTCTTTCTATTTTTGTTCCATTAACTGATTGATACACCTTAATATTTACTTATCTTATGACAAACTTTGGCATGATTTTTTCCTTGATTGACTCTATTTTATTCTCCAAATTTGTTTCTTTTAGTTAGTGTGAACAACTTTGATTTAATTATTCTTGACAAACTTTTGCTAGCTATGGTAAGTAAATATATGTATGTGACCTTCAAATATGGCAGTCTCTAATTCATGCTATTTTTACTGAAGTTTTTAACTGTATTAGCATGACTCCATCAAAATTAGAAGATCATTCATGATTCTTTCCTTCGATCTATTTATCATGATAGATTTCCTGGTGGTAAGCGCTAATTGTCAATTCATTATTTTCCTTATTAAATTTCACTAACTTATTACCAATTGATTTATGGAAAAAATACATGCATTGATATTTTTATTACTTGTTTATTTTTGAAAAACTTTAACTTAGTATCAAATTTAGTTAACTGGACTTTTTAAACTCGCATGATAATATCGATGATTAAATACCAAGAATGTAGATCTAATTGAGTAGAATAATTTTCTTTTCTTTTTTCTATTTTTACTTACTAATGTGTCATCTATATTCTACTAAAATTATAAGGCTATTTCCATTCTATCCACGTGCCTAAACAAACAACGCTCTCATATACTCTCAATTGCAATAAATTCTTACGTACTACTTTATAAGTTTTTGTTGTTTTAGTGGTTGCATGAAGTTTGGACTTCGGTTCTTACATTAAGGTTTGTGTGATTATTTGAATGTTTCTTAACCATTTTGTGATATTTGCCAGAATTATAATCTATGGTATGTTCAAGGTAGTTATTTAATTATCTATTTTGGTATCTTGTCTTACTTTATTGTCCTTATAAACTTATTTTATTTAATAGCACCTTTTGTTACTTTAGTATTTTATTTTAAGGTACTAACAACAAACATACTCTCACTTTGTTTAATATTCTTTGCACATACACAATAATGCAACGGTGTTGCTTGGAATTCGATCATGGCAAGTGAAGAAATCAAAGCGAGAAATCTAGCTAAACTGGAATCGTTGTCACCCCCAACAGGGGTTTGATGTACAATTTTATAAATAATAAAAAAAATTTAAACTGTAGTTGACTTCTTTTATGAAGCACACATATCACTTTATATGAATAAGGCAACTTGTTATTCCTTTCTATTCTAATTTTATATCACCCTTTACAAAAGTCTTAAAAACATGAGGACTTTTACTATTATGTTAACTTATCGACATACTTTCATAGAATATTAATATAAAAAGAATATACTTACATTTTAGGTTCACATAATATTTTAAATATTAAAATATTTTATTTAATACTCTTGAACATTTTTTTTTAAAAAAAAAAGTATTTTTTGTCTTTTCTTAAGGTAAATAGTCTATCGTAAAAAATGGAATAGCGGGAGTAACACCGTGTTAAACCCATTTTAGCCTTGTCTTATTCTGATCTCTCACTCTCTAGAAACTTCAACTTTAAATTTTGTTGATTTATTTAAATTTCAATTTGCACAATATATTTTAATATTTTTATTAGGAAGCAATCAAGTTAGTTATCTGTCATTTCTTCTCCTTATGTTTAGTTGACTTATATTTAGCCTTCTGTTTTATTTCATATTACCCAAGTATTTTATTAGAAGCGTTCTCTCCTTTATTTGTTGATATTTCAAGCATCTTTTTTATATACTTGATACTCAAAGCAAGATTGAATTCATAATTTTTTGTGGCTTCATTAGCTTTGTATGTGTCAATTTTTATAACTAGCATGCATTTAATTTACCTGATTTTAAAAAAATATCTCTTATTTACCTAGGCTTATATTAATTAGATAATAATGGATTCATTCTTAATTTATTCACCCGTATTAAATATTTTTTTTATAGTCTTTACCTCATTTTCCATGTTATATTCCC